AGCTTTTTTCTCCAATACGGTCGCCTCGATGTTCGTGAAGTTTAAGCAAAACCTTAAGAGCGTTATCGAGATATTTTGCAATGAAGTTTTTATTATTAGAAATACGGTAAGAATAAGGAAAATCTTGATTTTTGGCCGTTATCTGTAGAAAACGAAGCGCTTTTGACCTGCAATTTCACCTCATAGTAGTTTCAATCTTTTTAAAAACACGTGTGAAAGTTCGTGGAGATAGCTCTGCTTGATTGCTAGAATCGAAAGAACGATTTCATTAGTATGTATCGGGACACTCTTGTTAGCGGTTTTGTAAACATTTCTGTTACTTTAACAAGTTAGCGAATAATTTGAAACCGTTTATTCTTCTCGTAATTCAAACTGAGAATTAGTCAGCCACTTCTTCATTTTCATACCCATTGTAGCCTGCGTAGCAGGGGGTTCCAGTCAAACTCGCGCGGAAACGCCTGCTATGCAGGCAATACCTATTGCTAAATGCTTTCTGCCATACACTGTTCGTCGAGTGGAGATGACTCTGGAAAGTTATGCGAATGTTTATTTTAATCAATTCTCGACAGGAAATAGCCCACTCCAGCTAGTGTAGTGCAGTATAGTGCCCAACCAAAAAAAAACTGCAAATATGAAAATTACTCATCACATGCTAAGCAACCACTGTAATGTAACTGGATTATTACGCCTACTTTAGGCTAATATTCAGGTCTTTAAAATAATTAAGTAAAATGGAGACGTCTTTAAAAACTGGCTTTGCCCAAATTTTCTCTCGCTGCCCAAAATCTGAGTTGCCCAAAATTTAGGGGGGGGGGGCTGCAGCCCCCCCCCCTCGCCCCCCCAGCCCGTATGCCTATGTATATAGCAGGTAAAACTTAGCCGCTTATTAACGGCTAAACATTTCATTTTATATATGTGTAGGAAGTTAAACTTAGCCGTTAATTAACGGCTAAATAATTCCACTATAGGTTAGAGAGAAGGTCAAACTTAGCCGCCAATTAACGGCTAAATATTTCCTTTTCGTTTATAGAGGTTTAACTTAGCCGTTAATCAAAGGGTAAATAATTCCAATATATACTTGAGGGAGGTCAAACTTAGCCATTATTTAACGGCTAAATATTTTCAACATATATACATTAAGGAGGTCAAACATAGCCATATTTTTAGGAGGTTCAACTTAGCCATTAAATAACGGCTTAATATGTACGAACTATAGGGACCGCGCGGGGGAGAGGCTGGGGGGTTCCATAATTTGACATTTAATTCTAAACGGCCTCAAAGAGAGAACGACGAAATTTGCCCCTTCCTTCTCACCGGACCTCACCTTAAAAGAACTGCTCCGCGGTTTTTTAAGCCGTTAATTGATTCGGCCAAGATGGGGTGTTTATGCTAGGACGTGACTCTCGCTCACAGCCGTTTTTTTGTCTCTTCGTTCAAAATGGCTGTGAGGAAAGATCAGAGGATAAAGAACGTCAGAAGCCAATAAAACCAGAAGGCCGTGGGCAAACGACTTTTGTTGTGTGGTCTATTTGGTTTTTAGTAAGGGTGGTAGAGAAGGGGGCTTTTGTCAGGAAAGAAAAGTTTCAATTTGGAAAGAAATGCAAATCCGAATCATGGAATGACATGGAAATTATCCCTCCTCCCCGGAAATTTGTGGGGCGTTTGTATTTTTTTTTTTCAGAACCACTGCAATTGCCCTACGGTAGGGGCAAAATAACTGCTAAAAACGCATGACACTTATATAGTGGGAAATGGTTAGCCGTTAAATAACGGCTAAGTTTAGCTGTCTCTTTATATGTTGGAAATATTTAGCCGTTAATTAACGGCTAAAAATGTATGATACTTATATAGTGGGAAAAGGTTAGCCGTTAAATAACGGCTAAGTTTAGCTGTTTCTAATATATAGTTGAAGTATTTAGCCGTTAAATAACGGCTAAAAACGCATGACACTTATAGAGTAGGAAATAGTTAGCTGTTAAATAACGGCTAAGTTTAGCTTTATCCTTATATATATGGAAAATATTTAGCCGTTAATTAACGGCTAAAAATGCATGACACTTATATAGTGGGAAAAACTTAGTTTAGCTGTCTCCTTATATGTGTGGGAAATATTTAGCCGTTAATTAATGGCTAAATTCTTGGTTAGTATAAATAGTAAAATTTAGCCGTTAATTAATGGCTAAATTTTTCGTTTGTATAGATAGGTAATGAAAATTTAGCCGTTAGTTAATGGCTAAATTCTTGGTTAGTATAAATGGTAAAATTTAACCGTTAATTAATGGCCAAATTTTTCGTTTGTAATAATACAAAGTGACTTAACGGCTAATTCTTTGTTATGTCTGTAGACAAAAATTATTGCAAATTTAGCCATTGTCTAAACACCGGTCAGTTACAGTAGCGATCCCTCTCGCCCGGAATCTTCTCAATCTGTAAACAGGTCGGGCGAAAGATCCTCGGTGCAAAAATTGCTTGCTTGCTATGAAGATTCCAAAATTCAGAAAATTGTGTTCCTGGCAGTGCCGCCTCTAAAGCTGCTTCAAGTCAGTGTAAAATAGACTGGGGACTATTGCTTTCACCATGCAAATGAGTTATGTGACTACAATAGTTCCTTTGTTTTCTAACCCTAAAAACAATAGTCCGCGGTCAGTCCACAGTCTGCACTCCAGGGGAAAGCTTCTTTCATGTTTAAAGATGCAAGTGTCTTCTCTAAGGGAGATGTAACTCATATAGCCCGTATACAGCTATCCCCTCCCACCCCCTCCAATTTTTTTTTCGATGAAAGGGGGTTGTACACAGGCTATCATAAAAGTACTGAAGAAAGGCGTGAACCATTCCTTGGTTTGGGCAAACTTGTAGCTCTGGGAAGACCACAAGAGATTGGTTGCAAAAACAATTAACATAGTTTACAGAGGAACCAAGCCCGAAAACAAAAGACCTGCAACCCTTAGGGGTCTTAATTAGAGGTTCTGAAGAGCTTCATAGCCTGTGTACAGACCCCCCCTCCTCCCCTCAGTAAAAATTTTACTGAGTGGAGGGGGTGTGTACACAGGCTAGAGCTGCAAGGCTACTGCTAGGTGTCCTTTCTCTAAATTTCTTTTTTCTCATTTCAGAGGGAACTGACTGTACATCACACAAGATATTCCAAAAAGATGTATTGACTTCAATAAATATAACATGAATAGCAATCACTGGAATTGGTTTACATTCCACTTATAATCTGTCTTCTCATTAGCTAAGAGCTTACATTAGGAAATCAGTGCAACATACAGATTAGTTAGTAATCTTCTAGCAGATAGATGTTTAATTTGTAGGTTGCACATCCAATTCATAATTTCCAAATGACAATGTGTTTGTTGCCATTTTCTTCAAAACAATACATACCAAGTAAAACAATATTAAAATTAATTAGATGCACCTTTTGTGATACTTGGCATCATCACAAAACCCCTAAAAATCTACCCAACAACTTGTAAAAGATTTTTCTCTTTATACTAATATTATTAATTATTGGAAGAATGGTTAAAGTAAGAAAGGAAATAATTTGTTGCTAAATTCGTTTAGGATGTTTCTAGGGCCTTTTCATAGGGGAACTGAATTTTTAAAACGCTGAACTTCTTTGACACCCCCTTTTCATAGGCTATGGGTCTTTCTTGGATAGAAATTTAGCTCAGGTTTTCTGTCCTCATGAAAACCTCCCTTCATTATTTCCCAAAGTTTCCCTCTGGGATTCACCAAGTTCTACTTTAATTCTGTGAGAAATAAATTCCATCTGTGTTAAGCCATACATGTAAACACATGAAAACCCCAAGGTCAGCGAGAACATATAGATTACAGCCTTTTTCACATGGCATCACATTTTTGCCATATTTGTGTCCCAAACAAGGAGATGGTGGCCATCTTGGTGTCCCAAGCCAGTCCTGTGGGAGTTGGACTATTTTCTTAGGTAAATGCTTTTTTGTCCCATAAAATCTGCATAGAAACTGACCACGCAAGTGAAAACATTCTATACGTTTTCCTTTAAATCAAATATTAATACTGCATAATGTTCTCCTCGATTAGAGTTGATGGTCTGACTGATAGATTGTTTGAAGATAAGTATTCAAGACTTGTTCCTTTTAAGGTTTTTACAGTTTACTTTAATGGCTCTTCAACAATTGGCCCCATTTGGTCGCTGACATCCTCAATGACGGTCTTGTGTTTAAGAGCAGCTTTGGTGGAGAACCCATTGCCTTTATTGGGCGGCAAAACATATTCAATAGCTGGAACTTCAGCTGAAAGTAACTGATCAACCAATGCAATGTCTCTGCTTCGGCGTTCAACGTCTTCAGCTTTTGTCCAAGACATGTCAGCCTCAAGTTTATAAGCTCCAAGATAATCATGAGGGCAGCTTGAACCCCACTCCTGTCAAAAACAACATTTACCACTTTTAAATGAGTTTCTCCAATGGTTAGATGTTTTTGTGGCCTCTTTGGTACAGAATGCTCAATACCATTTCCATCACTCACCAGACCTACATGCATATCACTTTATGGGTTTTCCAATGGGGAACTTAAAAAGTGAGCTGTGATGTTAGGTGATGCAATTAGTTAAATGAAAAAAAAAACTTGGCAAGCTTAAGCATGGGAAGCTTGTCGAGATTATTCCTTACCAATAGAATTTGCAAATTTAAATGGGGTTTAACTAATTCGTGCCCTAGCATTTCATGCTAATGTTCATTTCCCGTAGCATGCAGTTAGTATGGTCTTCAAATAAAGGAACCAAAACACAGATTCCCAAAAACACTTTCAGCCTTAGGGATCAATTTACAGACATTTACTATTTTCCAATCAGATTAGTAGAGCAATTTTATAGTATAGTGTAGACACGGCTTCTATATGAAACTAAAACATTGCTTAGCATCTATCAGTTTTCTATTGTCAGCCAACTTGAATCGTTCCCAAACTGCAATTGCACATTACTGCTTAATGGCTTCTAGAGGGCTTGGAATTAGCCTTGTTACATTGTACCTTTGGTGAGAGCATTGAGAAGTAAGTTGTTCCATTGTTCCTTCTGTAAAGATAATACATTTGCCCTGGTCTCTTCTTAAAGTTGCAAGCAGCATGATGAAGTTCAGCATCTCGCTTTGTCTCCTCTAAGACTTTTTTTGCCTGTTAAAATAAAGATATACATATTAACTGTGTTCTTGAAATAATGACTTAAATTGATTTTAAGGAAACCAAGAGTAGTACTCTGCTTATACAAATAACAAAATTAAATTTAATATTGCAGCCACTCAAGAAGAAAAGGAGCATCTAAACTATTCATTTGGCAAAAGACACTAACATTACACCACAATGAATTTGATGTTTTTGTGAAAATGCCAAAGTCCATCACCTGGCTCAAGCTCTGCTCTCTGTGTTACACCAGGTGCAAACAGATGCAACATTGTTGGGAGTTGCTCTGTTCGTTTGCAACTAGCTAAAAGTTTGACCAGTTTCAAACTTTGCACAACAACATGCAGCAGACACAACATGTAACATTTGACAATGCTGGGAGTTGTTGGCCAACAATGTTGCGTCCGTTTACACCGGGCTTTAACTACAAACAGTGAGAACATGAGTTGCTACACTCTTATTGTCTATTAAACAACACAGCCCTAAAGCTGCAAACAGGAACGAAACAGTCAGTCATAGGACCAACTAAAAATAACCCACGTCTCATGAAATCCTTAAAAAATCAATTCTAGAGGAGAAAAAGGTCTAAGAAATAATCTCATACAATAAGTGCACAACACTGCATGTGATGCATTTTCCTTCATTGTCAGTTGTAATTGAAAAATTAGATTTTGTGGTATATTGTGTTTAAAACTAGTGTCCTTCACAGCCACTCAGGCTGGGGTCACACAATTTTCTCCCCCCCCTCCCCCCTAACCAAAAAGGCATAGGGATGGATAGCATTGTGTGACTCCTACAAGAGCTGCTGTGAATGAGACTAGATTATCAGGAGGTTTGAAAATTGAAGATACACTGTACCATAACAATATTTGAAATTTTGTCTTGAATTTAATGTTTTGAGATTCAATAAACTGAGGGTTCCAGATATGAGGATTGTACTGTAATTTGATTCTTCATTTCCATTGAGCCTTTCCTCTTATGATGAGTCAGAAACTTTTAAGGACTAATCCTTCAATCTAAGTTAGGATATGACGTTGGGCTAAGAGAATTTGAGCAACAAAATAGGATAAAATAATAATTAACCAGAAATTCACTTTGATCACATTGCTTGTTCCAGCAAGCACAATGAAAAACCTCTGACCAAGTGTCAGATTAACTGGAGTTATCGTACAAAACTTGCATTTACTATTATTATGATGATGCTGGGTATAGTTTCTGAATACCCGTAAAATACAAGCAAATGTATTCCAATTAGTTCATTATAAAATTGAACTTGGTAGTGATTTTCTTCTGTCCGTGAAAACTGGAAACCACAAAACCAAAATCCTAACGTGATACAATACAAACAAGTTAGTAACATTCAACAATAATAAACATGCCTGTTCTTGAAGATGTCGAATCTGTTCAGCAATCAGGATAAGTTTATTACTAGCAGCGCATCTTACAAACTGATCTGCCTTCTGTACTTCTTGGGCTAATGTCACTAAATCATAAGGATCTCCATGTCTGTGTACACGGTCTGGGTTTACCAGCTGCTTGGTGGCTGCTGAGTCAGGATCATCCACAGTGTGTGGTGTAAGAGCTTGACAACACAAAAGACAAAACCCGGTCAGTTAACAGATGGGTATGGAGACTCTAGCTTCAGCCAATCATCGTTTGAAACAGAAGCGTATTTGCTTCTGATTAAAATCAATCATTGATCAAAAACCTTGGTTGGTAAGTGTGACAATCAATAATTATGGAAAATGATTGCTCGATTATTACCAAAAAAAAAAACCAATAACAACAAGATATAATGTTGACAAATAAGAAAATCAAAACTTTGGTGTACTCTCTGAAATGGAACATACGAGAGAAAATAATTCCCATTTTACTCTGGCCGCAGCTTACGTAAGACACTAAATGAACACTTAACACTAAACATAAGATGCAAATTGCTTGCATAAATGTTTCAGGGCTTAGTTTCCAGCCAGACTGGTCCAATGATGACATAGTTTCTTTTGGTACCTTGCAAAAATTGCAACAATGGCTCGAGAGAGCATAAAAGCAAAACAATTCGAAGAAGAGTTTTTGACAAAAAAATTTTTTCAGTGCATTGAAACTCACTACTAAATGGGAATGTGTTCACTTATAAGCCAAGCAAATAGCAGCAAAAAATTTAATAGATTGCATAACCACAAATCTCAATGTTAATTTAGCTTACCACAGAAATTCAGTCCCAAATTGCAAAAAATATTTGACAAAAACAGGTCTCACAACAAAAATCTCAGATTGGTAAGCCTCTTACAACGAGAGAAGGTGTAAAACAAATAAAAGATGCCAAGAAATGTGTAAACAATCCACCATGTTTGGTCAAACATGGGCTTCGAAACATTTGCCTGGTTACTAAGCAGGGACCAATGTAACGCAAACTGATGTGGTTTGTTTTGATTGAAAGACGAATTTGTGATCATTTCAAGCATACTGCAATGGAGACATGAGGAAAGATTGACAGCAGCAAAAAACCCAAACAACAATAAAAATTGAACATTTTCCTAGAGAAGGTCATATTTTTTTTCAAAAATGTTAGGTTCTTGAGTGTTTCGGAATTATCTTTCGTTCTTGGTTATGTTGATTCTACAAGTTCAAAGTTTTTTTAGTTCTTGGCTTACAGCCAAGATCGGCTTATGGCCAAAAAAATATGGCCAGTTTAATTACCTTTGTATCGTGGAAACAATAACATGCTAACTCTTCAGTCTGGAGTCAAAGGACTCGACATGCACCGGCATTCTTTGTGAGCGGGCAAATAGTCATGTGTCCCTCAATTTTACAGGCAACAAGGATCAATAGGCGGAATTCCGTAATGTTTTGTTGTGTCCTGAGGGTGTCCAGGTACGAAAAGCTCCCACGCAGTGCAATGCAAAGTTAAGAAAGTCCTGAAACTAAGAGATGGCAAGCATCCCTGATCCCCCCCGACAAAAAAATAGGCGGAAATTCCTGTGTTTTTGAAAGTGTCTTCTGTATATGGGATCAGCTTAAAATAAATCGTGCTTAGTAAACTAATTTTTTACACTATTAAGTACTCCTCTGAGCACTTTCAAACAGCTGAAAAATTAAACTTGCCTTCCAGTTAAGAAGGGTGCAGTGCATATTACTGATTACGTCATATATATAGCAAAATCTATAACGTTGTCGAGTCGGAATATTTCTTACAGATTCTTTGCAAACTGGCATAATAAGTGTAGAATTTTCGAACGTTTGTACGCGTACGTTGCAACAACTGACGACAAAACTAGCTTGTTACGTCATACATATGAAAATTGTTTTAAGTTAGCTTGTTCTAGATATGTAGAATCGACTGTAAAAAAAATGGCACCTAAAACGTTTTGGTTTGCATTCAGTTACCTGTAATAGAAAACAAAAACCAATGGATTCTTCGGATGAACAACTTTACTATCAATTACAGCCAACCTTGGATCAGCAATGGTGTCGATATTCAATGGAGAGGTGAACGAAGCCTGACTTGGGTTAAATCCACCTTAACCCATAGAGTCGTTTCGTAAAAAAAAGGAGGTTTAAGAGAAAACTTCACGCATCAAACAACTTACCAAGAAGTGCAGGATCATCCATGATTAAAAAAACTCGCTTGTAACTTCAACAACAGAAAATAAAATGATCACACTCGGAAAAGTACTTTCAAGTCCTCAGCGATCCCTTGCGTAATTTTCTGCGATCAACCGCTGACTCAATAAGCGCATAGCCTACCGAGGGTGGGGTAGTGGAGCGGAGAAGTGGTCATTTGCAGTGGTCACAGTACTTGGACAACGACGCCGACGACGGCAGTGAAAGCGTCGGTTAAAAAAAACGAATTTGCGTTCTTTCAATTTTAATCGCGTCTATTTGGTCCCGCTCAATAAGTCAAATGCAGTTACCTTTCTTAAGCTCCCTAATAAGCTTTTTGTTTCGGGGTTATTTGTCGGTCAAATCAACAATCGGTCCATGCCTAAAATAAAAATTAAATAAATGCGTTGATTAACACAAGGCAGAATTTTCGAATTCGTGTTGCTCAGCCAAAGCGCATGAGAAATATTTTAACGAGTCTCTTTTACCCACGACATCTTTAATAGGCCTCGCCTCACCACATTTTGCGGTGGCCCTCTTTCATAAGTTTTTAAAAAGTCCTTAGATTAAAATGACCAGAAGACTTTTTACTTTTTGGAAGCTTTTATCCAAGGGTAGGGAACTACTGACTCCGGGATCAGTTAGTGACGGAGATGATCGAAGGGGGCAAAAATTAAAAACCCAGAAAGCCTCGAAATGTCTACTACTTAAAAATTTTCCTGGCGTAGGCTCTCAGATAGTAGAGATGACGCGAAAGTGTAACGCCCCTTGCAAACGGACGCAATATTGTTGGCCAACAACTCCCAACATTGTTGGATGTTACATGTTGCGTCCGTTTGCACACCCTGTTGCATGTTGTTGGATGTTGTTGCGGTCAAACTTTTCAGCCAACAACTCCCAACATTTCTTTTTTCCCGTGATCGCCGAAGCGTAGCGCAACAATGTTGGATCCGTTTGCGCAGCTCTTCCAACATTGTTGGGGCCACGCACGCTCATTACGCATGGTTTACAAAGACTAATGGGTTGTATCCTTCCCACGATGCTCTGCAGGTCCCAACATTGTTGGGAGTTGTTGCATCGGTTTGCACACCACTGCCAACACGCACGCAACAACTCCCAACATTACTGGCGCAACAATGTTGGGAGTTGTTGCGTCCGTTTGCACGCAGCCTAAGGCACGGGAAATCTGGGAAAAAGGGGCGCCCTTCCTTTCGCCAGCTTCCTCTCGTTTTATTTCTGTGTTCGCGCCTTCTCAATTTGCGGACCCAACTATCTCGGAGGCTGCAACGGGCTAAAGTTTTCCATGAAGGTAATGGAAATTGTATGTTTGTAGAATACTTATATATTCTTGAACTCTTGACACAATGTCATGAGTTAAGGCTTCTTGCTTGGGGGAAAGCGCCTAAGGTGTGCGTAGGAGACAGGAAGAGAAAAAATGCCAGGAAAATGGCGACGCAAGGGAATACATACTCTTCTGGGAAATTAACCTCGGCCATATAAAACCAGTAACAGTAGTTTCATAAAGCTTTGGACTGTTTGCAGCTAGAAGTAGAAAGCAGCGAAAAATTGAGACACAGAGACGACTTCTAAACATCATATTCATTTTTTAATGTATTACGTAGATTACAAAATAGCTATCAAAAGGGTAAGATTCGGGGTTCGACCTGGAAGTTCTAACTCGCACAAGCTGCAAATGACCACACAAGTACCATAAGAAAACTAACATTGGAAGAAAAACTAGTATAAACTGTACCCTAACCCAAGAAAAGCTTGTGCGGAGATAATTACCACAAAGTAAGCCCCGAATCACTTTGTCTACATAATCATACACTCTTATACGCGAAAAATCTATTTTACATCTAATAAGTACAGTAATGTGCATGCTTTCAATATACCAGAAAAGAATATCACTGGTTAGTTTAGCATGGTTCCACATCATTCTACGGTACATTCAATTCATTCTACATTCAATGACAAACTATTCTCTATCTTAATGAAACTATCTATGGCTGGCAATTTATTCCAGAAAATGGGGCTCTTAAAGAATCAGTGAGGAATTTTTCACAGCTAACGTGTCGTTAACCAAGAGATCAAAAGGACACTGTGGTCGACGTGACTAAGAAAATAACCGCGAGAGTCCTGGGCCAGGTTGTTCAATGCTGGGTCAAGTTAACCCAAAGTTTATGTGAAATTTGAAATCAGATACGAGAGGTTACAAGTCAGTCTTTTCGTTTAAAATTTCATGATTGAATGCTCCGAGAAGAATAGAATAAACTATCTGAAAAAATGCTTTTGAATAAAAGAAAACGAAATCTGGATTAAAATTTAACCCCGAGTTAGCGCTAATCAGCCTTCGAACAACTGGGCCCTGGCCGGGGAAGTCATTTCATGTCTTCAAATTTGACTACAAATATTTACGTTATTGTGGGATAAAATGCGTAATTAAAGGCACGCAAATTAGAGGGTCCCCAATAGCGTTCTTCAATCCCGTGATCCCGACCCAAAATTTCGGGCACTCCCGTAATCCTGAGGGTTATTTTTGGCATCCCACCTCCCGCGCATTCGTTCAATCTCAAATCCCGCGTTTCAAATAAGGAAACTCCCGAATCCCGAGTTTCAAATAAGGAAAATCCCGAATCCCGAGCTTCAAATAAGGAAAATCCTGAATCCCGAGCTTCAAATAAGGGAAATGCCGGATCCCAAACAAGTACTGGGGACCCTCGAAGTATGCTGATTCATGAGCTTGGACCTGTCCTATCATTCTACTCACTTTTATTCGACGACAATAATTCGGACCAGAAGAGTTTGCACGGGTTTCGAGAAACGCACTCCAGGAGTAATGATTGGCTTGAAAACTCTTGGACTATTTGCCACTATCAATGAATACACCAACAGTAATAGCGCCATCTTCAACTGTACAATTTGCATTAACATGTATTTATATCATTGGCTTTTTATCGAGATTATATCGCAATTTGGCCTTTCTTATTCGTTCCAATTCAATCAACAGATAATGTCACCCTAAAATCTACAACTTTTAATAAGCTATCAATGCAATCGAACTGAATTTCCAGGAAATTTATCCACAGAAACCATACAATCAAGGTGGTACTTAAATTCTTAAATCTCCTAAAATGCATCTCCTAAAATTTTTGATGTTCCTTCACGCCATCAAGTCATTTCTGAGGAATGCACCTTCTAAACTTTCTCATGTTCTTTCACGCCAAAAGGTCAAAATAGAAACTAGTGTTAGCAAACTCTAATACACACTGGTACAAGAACACTTAAGGATAAGACCACGTGTGTCAAGTCCCTCATTTTCCTAAAGGACGGGAGAGCGAAAGAAATACGCAAGTGCGAGATAACCGCCACCTGCGAGAAACGTGACACGGGGAGGGCAAAGTCACGAGCCTTCGCTTTGACACTTGATCTACTTTCACCACAGAAAATGATGGACTACTAGTAGTGAATGATAGGATCGCTGTAAAAGATCCAGTGATAGTAGTGGTCAGTCGTGAGATAAAACGCTCAATTCGCCACTTTAGACTAAACGAGAGGGAAACTGGGTCGAGTTAACTCTTGCAAAGAATTCTGGGACTGTTACTAGGGACAGAGAAAAAAAACTCGCCTCTCTTTTCTAAAGTGACGAACTGAGTGAAAACCACACCTTTATCACGTGACGACGGTTAGGAGGGAAAAATGATGGGAAAAAGTTCACAAGAACCGGGATGTTAAACTCACGATCGCGTCATGTTAAACTGCTTTATAAATTATAAATCTGTGGTATGTGTTCTCTGTGGTTCACTACAATTATATTTTTGCCACATTTCTGGGTGCCAGTGGAGGAGGTGGCCCGTCGCCCAGCTGAGGAGAAAACAAAGTCAGATCAGTTAAAGGACCGTCCTCACGGGTGATCAGTACAAAGTAACATGAATAATGATTACTAAACAGCGGCAGATCCAGGGGAGGGGCCCGGGCCCCCATAATTTTTAGACCAAACTGAGGTCCTTATCTCAGGGTCTGGATGACAGACCAACACCCCCCACCCCCCACCTATCTGAAGGTCTTGATCCGCCACTGCTCCACTGCTAAAAGACCGTTCACACGAGTGATTTTTTGGCACGCCTTGTCACGTGACCAAAGCAGCTTAAGTGGTTGCACACCCAAATTGTGCTATATGTCACAGTCACACCACCGAAAGGTGAGCGTAAGGATAGTGTCCCTATAAACAATCCCATACAAGAACTTGACACAACCTTAATATGGCCAATACAATGGCCTGCCCACCCACCTCCATACACTATTACAGGTGATTTTGTGGAATGGTTCGATTGTAGAACAGACAAATTTTTAAAGCAAGTGGGTATTTCACTTACTCGAGGACGTCGCCGAGACTCTTCGTCCGGAAGCCTGGAAATGAAAACAAAGAGAGCATAGACATTCTCTCTTGACTAAACTAATTAGCCGTTGGAGCATTAATTAGACTACGAGCAGTCTCACTCTCTCTTTTTTTTTTTCGCCAAGGCCGCGAGACGCGAGACGCGAGAAAGGAGCCGTCCCGCGCCTTCAATCACGCGCGTGGTCGTTTTCGTGTCTCGCGCGTTTCGCTCGACGGACTAAGAAAAGAGAGAGAAAAAAGAGAGACTGCTCGTAGTCTTTATGTTAAAGGCCAGTATCAAACTAAAACACAATCAGTCTGTACAGAGGAGCCCTGTCATACGACCACGTCCGTATTACGTATTCTAAAAGGCAAACACCCCGGACTGTCGGAAAATCACAGAACACCTCGGAACAACCAGCAAACACTGATAAATGAAAAAGGCACGCAAAACCCAAACCATAATTTGTAAGATGTTAAACATTCTTTTTGTTTTATTCATTTGACATGCTCCGTACTCTGTGGTAATGTGGTAATGTGGTACTCTGTGGTACAATCGACTCAAAACGGACACCTCTATACCCGGGGGGGGGACTTGGGTATTTTTTGGGTGGGTATGTGCCGCTCGGGACTCCAAATTGGCACCCCGTTCTAGAAAAAATTTCCCCTAAAATTGATACCCCGTTCTAGAAATGGGCCAATTTTTTATACCCCGTTCTAGAATTCGCCCTAAAACTGATACCCCGTTCTAGAAATGGGCCAATTTTTTATACTCCGTTGTAAGGTGCAACAAGAGTACAACGGTTTGCTTGTTAACGCATTGAACTGTATTTTTAAAAGCAATCTGTCCTTGAACAATTTCAAATGGCTGCTTACAAAAGTAGAGCTTTCGTGCGTTCGAAAAATTATACCCCGTTCTAGAAAACGCCTCTGAAATGGATACCCCGTTCTAAATCAGGAGCCTCAAAATCACGACCCCGTTGTTCGGCACATACCCGTATAGGTAATGTATGTGAGTACCCCCCCGGGCCTCTATAAGATGGACACCTCTGTAAAACGGACACCCACAGTTGGTCCCTACCTTTCTTTACTTCAGTCCTTTATTTGACTCTTTATAAGACGGACACTTATTGCCGGTCCCAAAGGTGTCGGTCTTAGAGGGAGTTGATTGTATCTACAATTCGATTGTTACCCACGACAACTGGGATTTATGCACGCGACTTAATTTGCGAGCATTGCTACAACTTTCTAAAGCTAATGGCAGCCATAGATTAATGTCAACAGAAGCATATAACAAGGTTATGTGCTTCTGTGTTAGGGACTGTTCTCTTGATCAGGAGACATACGGGAATGAACAAAACAACGACTTAGTACTGTTTCAGAGAGCGAGTGAGAGAACAGGGATATTTTTTCTCTCCTTTTGTCGTTCCCAGACTCCTCACAGTCAATGTAACTGTTACAATAGGAGTTGCCTGAGGAGGAGCCTAGGTTAAGTCCACTTCTTCGCCCAGCCGTCACTGTGCAACTACGACGAAATGGTTCATAAAGACAACCTTTTGTTGCAAACGTAAACTTTGTTCTCTTTGTAACCTTGGTTGGTTGTGGTCTAAAAAGAACTGAACTCCTAGAAATTCGCTTAAATGAATAAATGTTCATAAAGAACCCAAATGCAGTTTACTAGTGCTTTTATCCTCGCCGTATCTCTTGCCATTTTATTGACCGTTAATGATCTAACAGACACCCTCCCTCAAATAAAAACCTCTTGTCTTACTAACGAATTTGCCTTAGACGTCCCTCTCCAATAAACGTAGCCCCCTGTCTAATAGACGCCCCGCATGACAGTTGCTCTGGAATACTTGTACTAGGAAATAGAGAAACACAGCACAATCATTCAATCTATGCAGTCATCGCATTTTGTTCCATGTCAAGATCAAAGTAAAGATTCTGACATTAAAACTGAGCTTTTAAAAACACGATTTAGATCTCCAAACGTCTACACGTATCAATGAATGGACTCGGTAGTCCACTGTTTACGTACTGTGGTCATATATCGCCGAAAGCATATTACTTTTGTACAGATTGTTACAGTTAAGAGGACAAACTGACAATAAACGCCTCTATCCTTTTAACGCCCCCTTTTGGACCCTTAATTAAAATAAACACCCATAACATTAACGGTAAGCTCTCTAGTTACGTTTTTATGAAAGAAGGGGAAGGGAGGGGGGGGTTACTTGACACTAAAATAACCGACCTTGCAGGTTGTTTGTCGGGAGGTTTGTAAGCAGGGATCGGTGGAGGGACGTCACTATCGCCTCCTTTCCTCACATTCGCCAAATTTCCATACACTGCTAGTTGAGGCTACAAAACAACGAATAAACTACAATTAGCGCTCATACAGAAAGTAACATAAAAAGAATGCAACACCTCCAATTGCTGCTCTCACGAAGGGGAATAAAACCTTTTCCGCTTTCACGAGCGGGACCAAAATCAATTCCGGCCCAATCTTAGCTAACAAAGGATCAGAAACCATACCTTCTTGGGGCAGACATACCTATACCATTCAATGAACTGTCAACTTCATTTTCATAACTACATAAACGATATACAATATGGACTTAGTTATAGTTATTTGGGTTGGTCTTACATTCCCCTTATCTGTTAAGGAGTTACCGTAAAATTCCGAAAATAAGCCCCAGGGCTTATATTTTTCAAAAGCCCTTTTTGAGGGGCTTATATTCGGAAGGGCTTATCTACGGAGGGAAATTTGCGTTTCAAAATCGATTGGGCTAGCCTTATAGTTGAAAGTAAATTAACCGTTTTACTTTGTATTTGAGGGCAATTTTCCAAGTACAACCACCGGGGGGCGTATATTTGGAGGGGCGATTTAACAGAGGGTTTTTCTGCGTTACCGGTTTGGAGAGCTTATATTTGGAGGGGCTTATACATGGAGGGGCTTATTTTCGGAATTTTACGGTATTTGATTCTAGACTGATTAGGACAAACTGCTTTCTCTCTTAGTTGTGCTGTTGGCAATTTTGAACCGGTGCGTTCTGTATGTTGAAGTGCACTAAGAGACGGTTTTGAGGATACTTCTAACACTAGAGAGGTTAAACATCACATTAACGTCAAAGGGCAAACGCGAATTTGCACCACGTGACCAAGTTTCCCCATTACTTGTCGTTTACTGTTCATTATTTCTACACCTGAAGTAGTAGTTTCATGCAATTTTTTTATCCATAAGAATTGTTTTGAGCTGTTTTTATCAGCTAATTTTCTATATTGAGAAATTCTCAATTTGAAACTGACGATTGCCGTTTGCCGTATACATGAAGCTTAAACACTCTTTTCGCCACTTTGAGGTTGCGCGGGAGACCGGGTAAAGATTGTTGTCAACGTGCTTTGTGGGACTGTTTTGGGGGATGAATTTGCCGCCATTTTGAAAATGCGTCCGCCACAACAGTCCTACAAAGCACATTGACAACCACCTCGACCCGGTCTCCCGCGCAACCTCAAAGTGGCAATTGGCAATTACGAGGTTGCGCGAGAATCTGGGACAAAATTCGTCCCCCCAAACAGTTCCATAACGCAATTCGAAACAAAGGTTACGGTTGAAGGATTGTTTACCATGGCAAGTGCATTTAGCTTGTCCAGTTACAGTCACTCAACTCAAATAAATAGAAACAAATAATCCAAACCGGACATAACAGGATTAAAAACCCCAACTGGGAGGCAGGAGGCACCAGGTTAATATCTAAAAGCATGGTCGAGGATTTGAACTCTGGACGACAGAGAATAAATCAGGCAAAAGATCAGAGCGATACTCGCATTCGGGACCGCCCGATTGTGAGTCCGACGCGCTGAGCACTCGGCCTCGCTTCCTCCCTCTAGTGTCTGCTTAATGCTGGTTTTACTGTACTTACATTGTCGCTGTTCAATCTTGCTGTTTCTGTGCTGATGTAATGTTGGATGGCTTTGTAGATAAACTCATACTGAGCCTATAATGAGGAAATAAAACAAAATTAACTCTTGCACGTCTGGAGGGACTTAGACAAGATGCCCGTAAGAGGAGTAAAGAAGGGCAGGGACCAGCTCTAAGTGTCCGTTTTAGCAAGGTGTCCGTTAGAGGTGTACACAGATACACTGTTTACAGGTAGCCATTACGACACCTGAAGGAGGATCATGAGGTTATCCCTGTATTAAGATCTCTCCTTAAAGATAACCCAACCAGCCTAGGAAGGGTTGGCCACACCACCAGGGTGTACGTCCCCTTCTCTTTTCGAACAGTGGTGTGGGTTCTTTTATGTCCCACAAGAACCAGATGAGTGAAAGTGCTGTGAAATGGGGCCTACGGTTTTTCGTCCTTGTCAAAAAAGACTAGAAAGTCTAACCGTTTGCAGACGTCATTTCAAAGGCAGCACTTTCATATCAGTTATTTAAAGCCCCTGAGTGTTGGTTCGGCCGGGGTTTGAACCCTCCACCTTTTACTCAGCAGGCCGGCGCCCTCCCAACTGAACTAACCAGGTAATTAGAACACAGTAGACTGAACAACACGCAGCGGTTATATTTTACGAACTTCAAGGTGTTTGATTTTGTGCTGAAATCAAATGTTTGATATCACTTAGACTGCAAGCGGTCTGTCTTTTCTCTTAACTCGTCGAGCGAAACGCGCAAGACATGAAAGTGACCACGCGCATGACTGAAGGAGTGAGACGGGAGAGGCACGTCGCATCTCCAGGCTTTGTTTCACGGTGCTCGCGCGCGCGTGCACTCCCCTCACTAAATCTGAAGAAAACGAGAGATCACTCGCAGTCTAGATACCAATTCTCTTAAAAGATAAATCAAGAAGGAGAAATCAATGGCGCAAAAATAAGGAGCTTTTCTTCTGATTTCCAAACACTCATTTAACATTAATTTCATTCGCATTTTCTATACGAATTAACCTTTTAAGCCAAAAGAGTGACCAGCATCAAATTTCCCCTTGTAATATTAATGCTTTGTAAAATAGAGTGGTCGTGAGAATTACAGACTTGAACACACAAGATGAATTTGTTTGACATTTTATCAACTTCTCCCCACTACTTTTGTAGGAAATGAATAGGGGCAACAAATGAGAATTCAAATTTTGATCTTAGGGTTTGAAGGGTTAATGACGCTAGAAAAGAACTTAAACCCACCTCAGTTTGGACCATACCAGATCGCTGGGCTCTTACATTCTGAATAGACTTCGAAATATCAATCTCACAATCAAGACCTGCAATAGAAAGGAAAGCTAAATTAGCTAAGTCGGAAGAGCTCTTGACTACAGAGCGGGAGGTCGCGGGTTTGATTCCCGGGGCCGAAGCAATACTCAGGGTCTTAAAGTAACTGAGAAATGATAGTATTCCCTTCGCATTGCAAGAGGCTAGACCTTCGCATGGCTCGGGTGACCACATAAATGGCGATCCCGACTCCAGTAGGCTCATAGTAGGAGACGTTAATATAGTGTCCCCAGTTAGTACGTTCGTGTTAAATACATTGACACTCACATAAAGTGAATTTTTCTTTTCATTATTTTTCGTCCATTTTTTTCATTTTTCACCATTTCTCACTTCACAGAACGTTTGCCTGAAGAACAGACCTGATTGTTTTGGCGTTTTTCAAGCAAGCGAGAGCGAGTGCGAGGCGGGCGTAAAGCGCGAGACACGTTGCGCGCATTCTCCCCATCGCGCGTGTGTTGCGCTGACGCATGTCTCACACTTGCCATCAATCGCCTGAGAAACGCAAAAAAATAAGCAGGAGTTTACTCATGATTGTACTATAAAGCACAGTACCTTGCTCCTTGATCATGTTGACCAGGTTATCTATAACAATGAATGTTCCAGTCCTTCCTATTCCAGCACTGAAAGAATAAAAGACAGTTTCAACTCAGTTCCTAAGCTGTAACTCAAAACAAAAATAAAATAAGCTTAACGTCCAATTTTTTAGACCAAAATAACCCCAAATCTAAATATTAGCGCAAGAATGAGTATATGTCAGAGATTTTAAAGCCATTGAAAAAACTCGCAGAAATATATAATCAGGTGTAAAAATTCTCGGCTTTGCCTCGAGTTTTTAAACCTGATAAAATAATTTCCATGTACCTGCAATGAACAATAATTGGCCCAGCCATTGGAATGGACTGTTGTCTTGAATTCACTTCATGAAGAATATGTAATACAGGGCTTGGGTCTTTTGGAACACCGTGATCTGGCCAGCCAGTGTAATGGAACTGGTATATTGTTCGAGGTATAGGCTGTAACATGACATAAAAACAAACCATACTACAAAGTGAGTTTATGAAATTTCATATACACAATCAGGATATGGCTACAGCAGGGTAGAAGGAGTAGTGGATTCAAAATTCAAGACTTTTTCAAGACTTTTTTCCAAAACAATATTCTCTTTGTCCACACTCGAGGTTATCAAATAGGTGATCAATAAAGACCATAAAAATCGCAGGAACAAAGCTTTTTTTGCAAACGTATGGGCGAGATCGATTAAGATTTGACCAAAACCAAAAAAAATTATAAAGCACTCGTCGTAGCTTTGAAAAAACCATTTTTCCATACTTTATCTCGACTATCTCCATTTTCCAGACTTTTTCCAGGTCTGGAAAATTGCTGAGCAAATTTCAAGACTTTTTCAAGAATTCAACACTCTGTCAGACAAGGCCTGCTACAGGCAATTTCACCATAAGTGCACACGAGAAATGACATAATAATAATAATAATAATAATAATAATAAGAAAACACTTCTACCGGTATATTGCTCACATCCACTAGTTGTTTGTGCCGCTTTACAACAATATTAAAAATAATAACAATTAATATGTAAAAAATAAACATAAGAATAAGAAGATATAAAACATTAAAATCTGGTAATAAATTAACCTATTACTACCGTATTCAATTTAGAGAATATTGATCCGCTAGATGAAAACGAACAAATACTGTGTGAAGGCATGATTTCAAAAGAAGAATGCTTAACCGCCTTAAAAGAGTTTAAAAACAATAAAACACCAGGAACTGATGGTTTTTCTGCAGAATTCTACAAATTCTTCTGGAGTGACCTTGGCACTGAGATGACTGCCAGTTTTAATTATGCTTTCCAAAAAGGTTCACTATCTATCAGCCAAAAGCGCGGAATCATTTCACTCATCCCCAAAAAGAACAAAGACAAAACTTTACTTGAAAACCTGCGACCCATATCTCTACTAAACGTTGATTACAAAATTCTGACAAAATCTATTGCAAAAAGACTAGAAAAAGTCCTCCCTAAAATCATAAACTCTGACCAAACTGGTTACATTAAAGGACGCTTTATCGGTGAAAACGTTAGACTACCGGTAATTATTTTCCTAAAAAAGGTAGGTCTTGAAATCATTTTTAAATGTACAAAAACTGTTTGATTTATGAATGTCTTAAAGAATACTGTCCACAGTCTTGGGGCACATGTGGAAAATGCCCTGTCATGATAAGATTTAGTATTGGATTTTTGCTGCCAAAGTAGGTCTTGAGAATTTGAACGAATTGTCCTGGAATGCTTATGGTGTTGAAGTAATTCGACCAAGTACCGAAGCCCATGACCATTTTTTAGAGTTTTAAAAATCAGCAAAAGTAACTTGAACACAACACGGTAAGAAATCGGGAGTCAATGAAGTTTAAAGAGGATAACGTGGTTGCCACTAGTAAAGTTCCTATTAAAGGCTTGAATGACTTTCAAAGTAAATTTTAAAAAATACAGAATAAGTGCTCAAGTCCTCTTTTACAAAGAAAAGACAGAAAATAGCATTATTGAAAGCAAAAAAGGGTCATGTTTCAGCATTTGCATCCTCAACTAAAACATGTTTGAGTGGGTTGCTTGGACAATGGTAAGATTCAATACTATATGATAATGTTGTTGACTTTGATGAGCAAGATTCAAATACAGTGTAAGAGACCCACTTCAGGCTAAAAATATTGACAAAGGGCTTACTTCAAGTAAAGTGTAAGTGCCACACACCTTTCCCAAGAAGCTAAGATATACATGGCATAGAAGTAGGATAGAAGGTTTACAATGCTAAAACTTAGCAAAACCAGGACTTCTAGAGTGACCATAAGCAGATTTGAGTTTCTTGTGACAGGTACTTTCTAGATCACTGTTTCCAGTATTACATTACTGGAAATCTAGCATCTTTAAGGCCAAAAGTTGAAAGATGAAATAAGCCCCCCCACCCCACCCCCCAACCCACTCTGAATTTTTTAGAGAAATACTAATCTTGTATTCAGTGCCCCATGTGCTAATTCAAGCATTCAAGGTACACAATGAATAATGATGACTAATGAATCATAAATGCTTATAGTATGCAAAGCCATATTTTGGATAAAAGAAGTGCAACTTACATCATCAAGTGACGTCAGCTCAAACTCTCTTAGCATGTATTCAGTGTACTCTGTCTCCTTCATGTATCGTACATGATATGGACCAACATCTTTAGTGGTATTAGGATCAGGCCAGTAACGTGTACACTTGTTCTGTAAAATAACACAGCATCAATAACAATCTTAAAATAATTTTTGTACAACTACAATAATTTAATAATTAAATTATTGTATATATATACAAGTAATGTGCTGTATTTAAGCGTTGATTTAATAATTGTAATAAAAAATGTTCGAAACAATGAGTTAAAAAAAAAACTGGGGAACACATAAGGTTCAACGCACTTCAGTAACGCTTGACACTTACATTGTAAGAAAGATGGAGCATTCATGATGAAGTTTTTAGTGACAGTCTCACAGTCATCAAAACCTCTATCTTACACTACCCTTGCTTTGACATCTGCACTAACACAACTTTTATTTTCCATGACTTTCCAGGACTGGCAATGTGATATCCAGAATAATCAAGGTCAAGGTAACAGAGACCTTGATTATGTCGGATATCACAAAAACCGAATCCAATAATATTGTTTTATCATACATTGTTTTGAAGAAAATCAAGAAACAGACTGTTGCAAGGAACCTGAAGTGATATAATTATTGTTATTGGAAATCATGCATTGCTCGTGCAACCTACAGATTAGCCAGTTATCTACTAGCATATAACTAATTACTAATCTGTAAGTTGCGCAGATTTCCAAAATTAGCTTTAGGCTCTTAGCCAATGAGAAGACAGAGAGGACAGATAATGAGTACAATGTAAATAACAGAGTTTAAAGGTCAACACTTTTATTATAATGTACTCACCCTTCCTCTTTCCACTTCCTTTGTTGTCATGACAATGATCCGACTGTTCTCTTGAAAGGCCATTTTCCAGAAATCTTCTACGGTGGTTGGAAGGCAGCCTTGAGCCGCAATGTATCTCTTGGATGATTCGTCAGAGTCACTAGGCTGCAATGAACAATAAACAGTTTATGATGAAAGATCGAAAAACGTCCTGGATGGGATGATAGTTCATCATTAATTTGTGTATGGGTACCATTGACATGATATGGTAGTAACACTGTCACAGACAAGCTTTTAAAATAGTGTACAAACAGAAACACTAATAGTTGCTTTTAGCCAAGCAATCAGGGTTAAACAATGGTTTAAATCGATGTGAATATGCTCAAACCAAAGACCTGGTGACCATTGGGCCATCACATAAACAATCGTTGTGTACCAAGAATTTTGGCCAAAACTTTGTTTTCCATGCAGTTCGAATTCGCAAAGGGCTTTCCCTTTCAAAGGAAACAAAACAACTGAAACACAACTTATTGTGCACTACACTATTAAATCAAGGCGACAAAAGGACTCTTGTAAGTAGGAATTACTCGTTAAATGTTGAGGAATTCAATTCCCATGAAATAACTCAAATGATGAATGGTTAAAAATCAAGAAATAACTTACCCCAACAAAGTTTGCATTGATGTAATCTGATCCCACAACATTTGGGTCACCACCACGCAAAACAACTCGACTGTGATCAACTGAGTGAAGTAGAGATAAAACAGAAGCAGAAATCAGAACAGAGTGTAATAGGAGAGCCAAAAATATTTATAACATAGCTAGAAAATTCGCCTAATCAAATTCAATAGCGCGAGCGTGCTTCATATTCCTATTGAGCACGCTGATGACGTCAATAAACTATTCGTAATTCCTCGAGTTGTTGTGAGCTTAGCAATCCTGAGTCTCTTGAGTGCATCCATAACTCAGCAATAGACAATGAAGCGTTTACCATGTGTTTTGTAAAGAAATTTAAGAGGAAACGTTTGAATTTGTTAACCGATAGTAAGGAAAAGAGGTGAGTGTTGTTGTTGTTGTTGTCATCTCCGCGAGCTGTGCGGGCTATGGCGTGAGCTCATTCTTTGCAAAGTTGTTTTCTCTCAATAACAATTTTTCGGTAAATTAATAGTTTTCCGGCACCTAAATATGGATTTTACAATCATTTTAGAGTACACTTTCTCTCAGTTTCAGGATAAAAACATAAGATTAACTGTGAGGAAAAAAGATATATTCACGTAAACATTGACGCGTACTGCTTTGAGCGCGCCCTTCAATAATAAAATTTTCAGTTAACTGCTGCATTGATCACTTTGATAATGTTATAAAACAATTAGTTCATGCTGCAGCTGTGCGTATGTCGAGATATTGAGCACTTGGGAAGTTTGGAGAGCACTCAAGAGGCTAGAGTTGCACTCGGCTGCGCCTCGTGCAACTCTTACGCCTCTTTCGTGCTCTCCAAACTTCCCGCGTGCTCAATATCTCGACATACGCACGCTGACGCATGAACTAATTGTTAAATTGTTGATAGCAAAGTTGTGTCCATATTAAAATAATTAATGAAATAAAATTATTAATGTTGCCCAAAGAATGGTCGGTTCAATAATGGCGGAAATCTCTTCAACGAATGTCCAAGCACTAGGATGGCTATGAAAGAAATCTGGTGTTTGAACAGCACAAAAGAAACCTCTTATGTAGCAGTTTTTCAAATCTGATTTTAAATTTTTCCTTAAAAATGGTATTTCAGTGTTTTTCTGAAAGTTTATGTTTTAAAGTCTTGAGGATTAAAAGGTTTATGATGAAGTTCAAATTTCAGTTCAGGGGAGAATGGTTTCAGCTTTACACAATTTCATTGGTCCCCAAATACTTATTTTTCATATGATTCTACCCAAGAATTAGGATACAAAAGAAATTGTTGGCATTATTCACAATCATAACTAATCTGGGTTGGAAAACCTTCCAAACCTTCCAAAGTTGGACAAAAATGTTAATTAGGGAAAGCGAGCGTTGTCTAGTCTAATTTCAAGATAAAGAAAGCACTGGTGATTACAAATAAATCCCCCTCTCCACCCCCCACCCCCCCAAAACAGGTTGACGTCGGGCTGGATCATTCCTACCCTCAACTAAATGACATGGACCAGAGTGGGGTGAGGGGAGGGGTCATTGGCATACCAAATCAACGGGATAGGCATCTGGTTGGTAACAAAGTGCACAAATCTTAAGAAATTGTTGGTAAGTGCTGGCGTCAGAGCTGAACTTAGACAATATCGAGACTATAGTTCGAAAATGAATAAAGTGAAGAAAATGAAAATGACCCTAGCGAATAAGGGTGGGTAAGCCTTTTCAAAGAAAAATATTTCAGTCTTATGCAGTCTGCTACACAGCTGTTTTTAGTGTCGTCACGCAATGCTCCTCCCCACTAACGGCTGCTGAAAACCGAACTACATTCCTTTCCCTTTGTGTTTGTGGTCTAACAAACAAACCAATCATGTACAAGAAATTTGACCATACGTGAGCCGCAGGGCGCTAGGCAGCAAGCACGCTTTTCAGTTTTCGACAAATCAATCAATCGTCGCTGAATTTAGACGGGCTCTGTGTTTTCAAGCAACGAAAAGGTTAATTTGCAAAAAAGTTTGTTTTAAGCGATCAAGAAAGTTCCAAGTGAAAAGAAGGTTTGATAGGCCTAGAAAACTTTTACCAGGATAGGTTGGTTCTTCATTTAACATGCATATGTGCTGATATGTAGTGAAGAATTTAATGTACCGGATGTGCTCATTGTGTTCTGTGAAGAGTAAACTCTCAAGGGTACTGAGTCAAAAAGCAATCTTATAAATTATCGATGAGCAATTTCCCGAAACTATACCTGGCAACTTTATGAGCACATCCATGTTGTGAATCACAATTTGCTCGACTTTCTTGCTGTTGCTGCTTATCTCCTAAATTTTGAATAGGACTCGACTACGACAACACTGTAGTTAATTGCTTGCTTTCACGCGACGATTTTGATTATTCTGTCATTCACACATGGGGCAACGATAAAAGCAAAGCTGTGATTGGAGGAGTCACAGTACCGCAAAGGTGGCGCGAACACTTTCCAGAAAATGGGAGCTGAATTATAATAATAATTATTGGCTAATGACGGGAGAGGAATGTAGTTCGGTTTTCAGCAGCCGTTAGTGGGGAGGAGCGTTGCGTGACGACACTAAAAACGGCTGTGTAGCAGACTAAGTCTTATGTTAATTCCATATATTGGGAAAGCCCTTCGAGTACATTTCCAGAGTGACAGCAGATAATACATGTAAATGAGGCCATGGAAATTGACATTACTTATTTTTATAATTATTAGGGAAATTGACAATCTGCGAAAGACAAAACCACTTTATCCTGAATTTCTTTAAACTACACCATCTACGATGGACCAATTGTGCAAATTACTTACATCCTTGGGGATTGTCTTTTTAAGTTATGCTGCTTGTAAACAAAGAAACTCATCAAACAAATGAACACAACTCACACGGTAGAATGTTCTTGTATCTGTTCTTGGGCTTGTTCTCAACTCTTTCACCTTCTTTTCTGCTGTAAAGATGTTTACACTCTTGTTTTTGAAGAACCTATGCAGGCAACATTAAGAGAATTTAGAAAGACTGTAATTACAAAAAAATAAAAAATGCAACATAATATATAGTTTCCTCCTTTCTGGTATCTGCTTTCTCAGGGTGATATGAAAATTCAAGCTTTTGTTGATGTTTACAAACCTAGAACAGCTGTGCAGAAAGCATAGAGACTATGGCCAAATCACTTAAACTGGCATGGATATCCAGGTTCTTACAAAGTATGTTGTGTGATGCCATATAAACATGTAAACATGCTGCTGCACAGTGCCATATACAATACCTCTCTCATCAATGGTAACACAATATTAGAATGATCACGACCTCAGTAGATGCGGAAAAGAAATCTTCAGTCACAAAGGGAAGCAAAGGAAAGTTTGAGAAGTATAGTAATACATGTATAAGGAGCAATACGATTCACGGTTTCAACAAGGGTCCTCAAGAACAATGGACACTACTGCTGTCTTTGTCTTTCTCACCTCAAATTCTTCATAAAAGCCAGCCTTTCCAGATACATTCTGATTCTGCTTTTGCAGCACCTTAACTCGGTCCTCAATAGCTGCTGCATTGATTCTTGTTGCATTGAATGGCTAAAAATACATCAATATGAATTTCTCAATTACAACATTTAGCATTTGATTGTTTTATACTGCTACATACATTTAATATTAAATTAAATTATCATAATTTTAGAAAGCATTATTATTACTTTTATTATTAATTATTATCATCATCATCATCATCACTATTGCCATTATTATTATTATTATTATTATTATTATTCAATACTAATATTATTAAGGAGATGTTTGTCTTGATGTTTTTAATTGACATGATTATGATGAGAAAAGTAGTTATGCAACTTACTGTTTTAAGCTGCACAACAGTGCCAGATTTTTCCACCATGGGGTTTGTCTTATAATGCTCCACCAGATCAGTCAAATCATTAAACTTCTCTCCTCCACCAACATCATATTTACCATCTCCCACTAGGTAACGTATCATAACATGTGTAATCTTGTCCTCCAATCTAATTTAGTACATACCAGTAAGATATCAAAAATTGCTACTCTGAATACATGTAGAAAACAGATGCCAACTTCTTGATACAGAAAGACATTTCGCATTGATACTAAGGAATTAAGCAAATATTTCCAGTATTTTGGAGGATGTTCATCACCCATCCATCCATCTGAGATGGGTTGTTTTTGGCTTGGACAATATTACTGGTAAAACTAATAAAAGCACTTGTCCGATTGGACAAGAAAACATAAGACACCTTTTTACTACTGTAAGTCCTATTTATCTTTAATAAGAGACAGTTTTTAACAGTTCACACCTAGCTTAGCATGTTTCGCATGTCGCAAGACTAGACCACTTTAAAGAAATTTTTTACTGGTCGGGGCTGTCATATAGAGCTGGAGGGCTGCAGTGATTCTGTTACCTTTGCATCCTGCATCCATGATGCATAAAAATCCCCAAAGACACAAAATAATTCATGGCATATGTCCCATAGGATGCAAAGATCGATTGATCGATCTGAACATGTGTTTTTGTACAAATATTCTGTTAGTGTAATTAATGTGGCAGTTATTATGGCGGTTGTTTAACAATGCACATTTCATTTAGCCTTTGTTGTGCTTTAAAATAGAAGGATTATACTGTAATTTTCAATTTCGGACTTGTTTTTTTAACTGGGACACAATGGTGCTGGACTGGAACTCATGATTTTTCACAAGATGAGTCCCAGGACTCTCTGGCACAACTATACGGAACAAAATCTCTGGGGCTGGGGATTTGCCCAGCTACTATATGAGCATGGCCCCTAGATACTTTCATTTGAAACAAAAGTAAAAAAAATAACTTCCTTGCTTTTCAATTCCCCACTAACTAACTGCCTATATAGTGCAGCGGCCTAGCCAGGGGAGGGTTCCAGGAGTTGCGGAACCCCCCCCCTCCTTTTTTTTGGTGCCACGGCACTATCTATAATTTCAAGAGGAATGAGATTTTAGCTGTTAAAGAAAATGAAAGCGTCACATGCTATTTCGAGGGTTACATGTGAATACGGTGGAACCCCGCCTTATGGCCACCTCGGTAATACAGTCACCTTGTTATTACGGCCACTTTTTTCCGGCCCGGCAAAACAGCCATACAATTTCTTATTAAAAAACCCTGTTAATGTGGTCACCCGTTAATACAGTCAACGGCCACATTTAAAATGCCCAAAACCAGAATCTTTTATAACTTCATTCCGTTTAAACGGCTACTTGTACCAAATCTAGAAAACTGAATTGCCTGTGACATCTTAGTAAACTGAGTCTATTCTTGTATTGGCTCTATAGACTATACTACACTAAGAATGCACTTGTGGTTTTTAGCCAATTTATAGAAGGGTTTTATACAATAAAGGAAAGTTTCAAATTAGTTGAGCCTGCCCCAGTTATACAGTCACCCCATTAACATGGCTAAATTATTCTGACCCATTATTGGTGACTGTATTAACAGGGTTACACTGTACTATGAGGAAAATCATACGAGGCCCCTGGTATACAAGCCTGCAATGTAGGATTCAGTGCCTTTGTTGGTCTTGATCAATTTAAATTGCAGGTTGTAATGGTTTGACTGTAAGAGGGTTTAATACAAACTCGATAGAGGCAGAAGGACAGTGTAAACGGTCATAAAAGTGGAAGGTAGAATGAAATCAGCAGTGGTGTTTACAAATCGGTGTGCGGAAATTGTCTGAAACTGGGACACTAACATACACAGCACAGCAAACTGCCTAAAACATGCGGTATTCAATTATCAATTCATCATATGCCAGCCAGGTTACCATGATGCAGTGCCTTTTCCTTACATAAAAGCTACTGAGTATCGGGCTCCAAAAGTGAGACATCGATGTCTATTAGGCTTCTATCACCCTGAATTTTCATGTAGCTGCTTTTCTGTTGGCAGTGCAAGTGGCTCAACACGGAAAAAGACCTTTCTAGTAATGCACTTGAGGGCTTAGCCATATTCTTTCCAAACTTATTCAAGTTGCTGCGTATTTCAAGTCCATCGATGTCTATTAGGCTGTAGCAGCCAAATTGAAATCTTAGTAACATCCCTGCAGAAAGCCCTACAAACAATTCCATTAGATTCTTCAGGACCCATAAAATCTTGGTGGTACTACCCCTCTAATTTGGTAAAACTAAATGGACCGTGCCAAAATCCCCACATATATAAAGATAACTATGACAACTCACCTGACCGTAAGAACAAAGTCTCCAGGTTTGCTCTGACTTTCTCTAACCAGGAAAGATCCATTCTTTCCTTTGTCCAACATCATTGTCTCCGCCTCCTTTCCAGACATGTGTCCATGAAACCATCTGACAACAAAATATATCAACAATCCTGTGGTGTAACCATTCAAATAAACCTCTTCAGTAGTACTTTCACATGGTGCTATTTATTTAGTATGTAGTTCTAACTTTTGAGTCTGTGGATGAAATCCTATGGTGTAACAATTCAAATGAAACCTCTTCAGTAGTACTTTCACATGGTACTATTTATTTTGTATGTAGTTCTAACTTTTTAGTCTGTGGATGAAATCCTATGGTGTTACAATTCAAATGAAACCTCTTCAGCAGTTCTGTAACATGGTGGTTATTATTCATTTAGTATGAAGTTCTAACTTTTGAGTCTGTGGATGAAATCTTACAGTGTTACCACTCATTTGAAACCTCTTTGGGAATAACTTCACATAGTACTATCATGCTGTTTTCCAGTGCATGTATTACAAAAATGAAATTTGGAATACTCATCTAATTTGGACTTTGGCTACTTAGAGGGTTGCTTAAAGGGTTATTAGCGTTCAACAACTGGCTTGTAAGCACACAGTATTGAACAAATAACAGGTTTCAAGAACAACTACAGCTTACAAGCTGAGCCCTAGCGGGAAAGATGTCTTGTAACAACTATAATTTTGCTTGGCCAATTTTTAACTGAAGCAAACAGCACACCCATTTATGATACAAGGCCATAATTATAATAGGTTAAAAGTGAAAAGAGGTGCAAAAATAAGTAAAAAAAACAATGTTCAAAATATAAAGACAAAAAAAGGGGCTGCTTTGAGTTTACACAGTTGCATGACTGTACGTTGAAAGTAAGACGAGAACCAATGAGTGAACATGTTAAACTAACCTTTCAGAGGTTGGATCTGTAGAATTCAGTGGGAATTTCAGTTCAATAACTTCACCTTGCTTCTCCCTCAGTTGCCCAGGATTTTCGGTGTAAAAGAGAATTAACTCTGACAGAGTGGCAAATTTCTCTCCTCCATACAGGTCATAAAAATCTCCTGTGTTTTGAATTTTAATGTGTGTCACCTCTCCACCTCGTCTGCAAGTGAATCATTACATACGTCATACATTACATAAACTTTATTTTCACTCAAAGTTACAGCGTAGCTCTATGTACGTGGTCATAAAAATGCTCCTTTATGTTAGTATAAATAAAGAAATGTCCACGAAATATTTTGTGGAAAGTACAAGGTATTTATGCATGAGTAGATGCAGCAGAATTGATACAATAGTGAGTGCAGCAAAACGAGTATTGAAGATTTCCAATACAAAAACAGCAAGTGTGTAAATATTAAAATTCCAAATAGATGCATGACATGTAAAGTTTCTATATCCTCCCACAAAACGATTTTGAAAAGAATTTTTTCTAAGTTTCAACTTTGTATAGGATGGGGGGAGGGAGAACTGCAAGAAAATTTCGAAAAGGATGCACTTTCTTAAGAGAGAGCCCAGAAATGACAGAAAAATATGAATACTGCATTGCTGACAGTAACAAGGACTTTTGTCCATGATTGTAGTAACATAACTATATACTTATGATACAGCGTAAACAAACATGAAGAGCATTGGAAGTACAATCTGGAGGACCCAAAATCAAGTACTGACTAAACTAATAGCTAAATTTTCTTTATGGTATTCCTGATCATGAGGTTAAATCCTCTGCCACTACAGCCATTTGGGATTTTTAACCCTGTCCAAAACATAAAAAAATAATTATTATCTAGTTCAGTCACTAACCTATGCACTGACATCTCCCTCAAGGAAAACTGCCTAATAAAAAGCTTAGCTACTGAAAGACAAGTTAACTCTTTCCGAAACTCCGATTGGTTGATGTAGCAACCATAATCATACTCTTTCATCTACTGTTTACCAATGACAGACAAAAGAAAAAAGTTCACAAAGATCATATACAAGGAGCCGAATCCACCAAGAAATACTCGTTTCCTGAGAATATAATTATTTGCTCCGTAAAAAATAGAAATTCAAATAAATTTACATCTGTAGGGCTCAAAATAATGGCTGGTCAACAGACAATGTCCAGACTGATTGGGGATGGAGTTGACCCGTCAACATTTCATCTTGCTGGTCATGTTGACTGTTCACATTTGATCGTATTGAACATGAAATAAATTAAAATTTCCATGCTATTCAGTTGTTTCAGTTGTTATCAGTAAGTAAGGAGTAGATGTGTATTGGTGAACTTTAATCTGAAATCCTAAGTGAAATGCAACAAGAACAGTTGTTTACAATGCACCCATGGAAACAGACACTAGGGTTCACGCACTTCTAGTTTCAAAATTTAAAACGTTTTCATTTTTATTACTTAAGCAACGACTTTTTTCAGGGCTTCTGTTAGGTCGCGGAAAAAAAGTCAAGTTTCGTGGGATTTTCAGAGCCAGATTCACGAAAAAATTTCGCAGGACTTTCATGGAAATTTTGGGGGCTAACTTCACCAAAAAAAATCAGTAAAAAAATGGCCTAATATTCTAGCCAAATTTCGCTAGAAATCATTCGATTTTGCACTGATTTGACAAAGGGTGTTTAATGTTTTTTAACAGAGATAATCATTTGCTATTTTAACAACAAGGCACTTGAATGAGCCTATGGCAAAGCTTTTTGATCATGACTAGAGCCCAGTTTTCCACAACATAATTTACGCCTGGTAGTTTTGGAACGTTGTTCGCTCATTGTGGTGTTGAAGTTTACGGCAAATAAGCCAAGATAACTTTCTATTATGTTTTATCGCCTTGTATTTGGTAAGATTTCGACCTGAATTTTGCAGGCTGGAAATATATAACGCCAGTTTTGGTTCATGGGCCCTTAATGTTTTACGAGTTATTTATCTCATAAATTTGACCCGCCAGAAACGATACGTGACCGACGTAAAATGAATTTGGCTGATCATTGTGTGCGGAGACTCTCTGGAAATTATTTTTAGCCCTGATCTGAAACCCGATGACTACCAAATTAACTATGTAAACATTGATTTGGGTCATGACTATGAAATTTTTTTGGCAAAAACACAGAGGTCTTAATCACCAAACTTCCCCAGTAACAGGGAGCAATGAGAGGCGAATATATTCGCAGGCTAACACAGCAATACAAAGGAAATAATTCTTCAATGATTTAAGGGATTGCAGTGATCAATAATTTGAAGGCTAGATTGCAAACAATCAGAATCACCACAATCGCTAACATCATAAGAAAACCAGGCTTTATAAAGGTACTACACAAGAAATTTTTCTGTACGATCCTTGTTGGAGATGGAAAGAGAAAATGATGTCTCATTCTTATGTAACGTCTGTGTATTAAATGCAACTTTAAGAAAACAACAAATTATTGAAACAAGAGGATGTCACTGAGAGTTGGCTACCAGATAATTTCACCGGCTCAAAAAGAGCTTACAGTAGTCCACCAGCTCAGACTGCTTTGGAAAACAGAGACATTCAGTTAAAAGGCTGGCTTGACTAATAAAAAATTTCCTTGGCTTTTCCTAAGCTACATGTACATCTCTAAAAATACAAAGGCATCTAACTCAACATATTTTTGAATAATCCTGACAAACAACAGACCTATTCTGTGTCTGAATACATGTACCAAATTTCAATTGTAATACAATTTCCAGTTTTATTGCCATTCAGTAGAAAGGGAAATCCGACTGGAAAAACAGACTGGAAAAGCCAATAATCAATTCAAGATGAGGTCTCACACTTGAAAATAGAAAATGGTTCGATTAGAAACTACACCTGCGGCAATATTGTAATTAAAGGAAAAAAATAAACATATGTCTTGGAACTGACGTTGTTAGCATATGATTCTTAGAACTGACATCAATGCGTAGGTGTTTTAAAGGGAAGATGTTGAGGAAGATAACATAAAACGGAGAACAAAGTTAGGATTAGCGTAAGAGATTACTTGGATAATATTTTTTGTGTGCATAGTAGCTTTCCAGGAACACAATATTTTTCGGCAGTTCCCGATCGAAGTCGGTTCAAAATCAAACTTTCACAACGCTTACAGCACTGATCAAATTGAAACAGTGCTAAATTTGCATTTTGATTATCGTCGATTAGCTTTAAAATTGATCTACCAACATCTGGTCTTAATTGCCTCTTGATGAAAATATAATGCAAACTGAGCATACGGATATAAATGTCACTTCAGTAAATAGTTGATTTTCTATCAGCCTTCTACCTTAAAATTTGGCTTACCTCTCACGCAAATCGGCAAATGTAAGGATGAGAAACCTCTTCAATGTTATCCAATTTTTTAAGAAAAAAATCACCCTCAGGGAAGGAAATTCTATATCGATCGTGATCAGTGACCAATTCAAGCGCCACTCTCTTCCAGCTCAACTCATCTCACCCGCTTAAACGCAACACCAAGCGATGGCGAAAAGAGGAAGTAAATTTTTAACCTTTTTTTCTTAGACCACGATTGTCTTACTTACAATCCTGTTGCACTTACCTAACTGACAGCGTAAAGTCCCCAGGATTACTCTTGCTTGGACGAACAAGATAGCTGCCATCGAAACCTCTCTCTAACAACAACTTTTCTGCATCATAACCAGAAACATTCGAGTGAAACCACCTAAAATCCAAAACAAAAAAGCATATGTGTTAAGGGAATGACTTATTAGCTCCTATGTTTAACAAAAAATAGGTTCATTACCTTCGCGAAGACATATTTTTCAGGAGAAAAGATACGACAGAAAAAGTTTCGCTGCAGCGAAGTAGATTTCATCAGGAAGTGGCTCTCCTCCCACAGGAAGCTGGAACACAGCCTCGACTCTACGCTAGTTTTAGTCCTCTTTCGCTCAAAAAAACAAAATGGCGGACGAAGCTTGCAGTTCAACACGCGAAGAGAATCACGTTGATTTTCCTCCTGTTTGTCTTCTAGACGCACTTGTTCGATCATTTACAAAAGAATGGCGTGGAGTTTTTGCAGCTCTCAACTCTGAGTGCTTTCCTGTTCAAGCTGCGTCTATTTGGCTGCAGAAACGGATTGCCACTGAAAGCTTGTCAGACATTCCTCCAAGCTGGGAAGATTTCATGGATGATCTTGCCAAGGATTTCCCTGTGGTGTTGAATGATCAATTGTTCTTTAAACCCAAACTGCTTCTCCTTCCTTTGAATATCCAACGTAATACGCTAGCATTCATTTCATATCACGGCTGTTCTGTGCCGGCGAACTCACTGCACAAGTTAATTCACAGCTTGCGCAAATTTGAGGCGGAAATGGCTGACTGGAGGCTAACTCATTTGAAGATTTTGGAATCAAAGTTGAGAAATTTTAAAGAAACTGACCGTAGAGACTGGAAGGATGGTGAAGAATCATACCAAAAAGAAAACAAGTGTCTTTTTACTAATCTCATTACTATAGACTCTAAGACAAGATTTGAAGATCTCACAAACAAGACCAAAAAAGCGGAGTCTTCGATACACATTCCATGGTTAAATAATTTTATCAAAAATGAAGTGAAAGATGCTGATGTTAGTATTGATAAGAACATTTCAAAGGAACAAGACACCGTATCTCCCCAAAAAATCGAAAGTTGTGCTGGAGATGAAGTTGATATGATTGATTTGACAGACATTTGTGATGGAAATATATGTGTAGATGTTCCATCTCACAAGACATTGCAAAAACTTCACCCAGAACCTTCTGATCTGTCTGGTGATAATGATATTGAAATTATTCAAGTTTTTGATAGTCACGAAGTAAAAGTTGAACCTGAAACAATTGACATGAAAGATTTGACAGTGCCCCCTCCACCAGAATGTCTGATCATTGAAAATGAAGACGTCCTAGAACACAGTATTGAAGAAAACTTGAATTTCAGCTTTGAGAATATTCCAGGACATTCAGTCACCAAGACTGAAACTGATAGAGAACAGTCTATTATGATGAGCACTGAGAATGTTCCAGAGCTTTTGATTGAGAAAAATAATGTCTCAGCTGAGTCAAAGCTACCTGATGCTCTTCAGCTAAAAGTCACTGCTCTGAAAAACTTACTTCAGAACTTAGAGACTAATGAATTCAATTTTCATGATGAACTTGAGGTATTTTCAGCAAGTAGCCCTGAGGAGCTAAGACATATCTGTGCTCAGTTAAATCTGAAAAACCTGGAAGAATCTTTGGCAATTTCTCTGTGTCAACAGTTTGTTTCTTTGTCAAGTGAACCAAGCTTTAGCAATGCAGTTATTTTTGCTGTTCACTGTCTCTTACCTAAAGTTCAACAGCTAAAGCAAAATGCCTCTAGAGTCCTATTTACTGCAGTCAATCAGTTTGCTAAGAAACATTCAAGAGCATTTTGTGATGGTGTCATTTTAACACTGGTCCAGCAATCAAATTTGGACAATCCACAAGTGGATCTTATCAACAAAGTAATCAAAGAATGTCTCACTGAAGACACTAGAGTATATTTAATGCAGTTGATTTTTTCAGTCAAATCAGACACTGAAGGTTTGCCTTTTTCATGGACAGAGAGCACTGTTTCTGTTGTTCAGATGTTAATTGATTTAAAACCAGAATTTAATGAGGATTTATTTGGAAGCTTTGTCTGTGTTTTGGAGAAAGAGTCACAGCATTTGACAAAGTCACTCAAGTTTTCTAAGATGTTGCTTGCTGTTATCAAGACATACGGGCAACATGTTTCTATGCACCAAAACACTTTTGTTTACATCTTGGAAGTGAATGAAACATTTCTCAAGAAAGCAGGCTTGACTGCTTTAAAAAAGTTTATAAACAGCTAAACTAGATTTGTATTTTATTCAATTTGAAAATACCATTACCTTGTTCCTATTATAGCCAAAGTTTCCTTTTGTCTGATTTGTATTGTTCATAAACAGCCTATCTGTTCCTTTTTGTTGATAGTGGCATTATTACAACCCTTTAAGCGCCAGTATCAACATACAAAATAATTCTCCAGACTGAACTACAAACATTTTGTTAAAGAATTGGTTGAGGAATTTGATAAAAAGTGATTATTTTGTTAATTTGAAATTTGTATAACCTTTTTTCTCAATGACATATGAATATAGGAAAAATTGATATTGGTCACTATTAGGACTTATTAAAAGGGACAAGGATGCAGTTGTTTGGGAGAATCCAAGATTATAATTTTGATCTCCGATTCTTTGAGGAGTGAGATTAAATCAAAGATCCGAAGATAGATTCTGTAGTGTGCGCGAAATATTGGTGTGAGCCAGTAGGAAGCAACTGATGTCATATTTTCACGTGAACACCACTAGGCAGGTGTACTTTTTTGGATGTACAAATCCTGAATAGTTAGATTTGATCTGATGAAACTGTTTAGTCTGTTGATTCTTACACTTCAAAATCCATTTCTGGAGTTTACTAAATTAATGCAAAATCAGTTTGCATTTGGATTTCCTAAAGAAGTGCATTCTCATAAACTGTCACAAGCTTTTACTCCTACATTTTATGGTACATTGCTAAGATAGTGAGCCCACAACTTGACTTTGGCAGCAGGAGACCGGTATCCAGCGCATTGGTAGAAAATTCCATCCAGAGTTGGACCAGAATTCACATTTTAAAATGACTGAGTATGAAGGTTCTTTGAAAACCCACTTAACAGCTGGCCCATGGGGGGGGAGGGAATGGTCAAGGATTTTGGGGTGTCTGAAACTTCTATTCCAGGATTTTGTTGGATAAGAGAATTTGGACGGTATTTGCTGGGGTGCCTTGATTGAAGCAGAAATTTTGGGCGTTATTCAATTCAATCTGAAGGTTGGTGAAGTAGAGCTTGAGTATGCCAACTGCATAGTTCTACCTGATTAAGTATAATCAAACTTCTTTTGTTGCTGTTTGACAATTTAATGCATTCTGGTTATTGAGTATGAGCAAGGAATTTTTTTGGGGGGGAGGAGTTAGTGTTTGGTCCAGGGATTTCATCGAAAGCAGTATGGATTTTTTGGGTTTTGATTTTTTGCCTATTTTATTTGCACTTGTAAAATTTACATACATATGCATCTTTCGTTTCTTCTTTAGAAAAAATTTTTCGTGATCCCCCAAGAATCTTGCCAGGGCTTACTTTCTAGCAGCAGATCTCTCAACAACAATTTCATCTCGACATTAGTTGAAAAATAAACAGTGACAGAGAAGAAAAAAGGGAAGAGGGAAGGGGATTGAGGATAGAGAAAAAGGTACGGTGCTTCCTTTCCCTTTTCACTTTCGTATTTTTCTCAAAACGCTCTTTTGAGGGGGCGGGGGAGCTGAACATAAGGGAGAGACGGAAAAAGTGAACAGGTTGGTTATGGTCGAAATTACTATATTTCAACTATGCTTTTGCACATCACGCTTTAGTTTCCCCACTAAATGCTTCACCTAAATGGTCCACTTATCCCTCTAAAATGCTTGTTCCCCGCCCAAAAAGAACAAAAACGTCACGAAAATGCTGAGATAATGCTCATCATGGTGGGTATGTGTTTTGTTAATTCTGAAGGTTTTCTAAAAGCACAGTTGAGGTTTTAATGCTAACAGTTCCAGTAGCCATTTTAACTGATCCTTTCACTTAAGGAAAGATTGAAAGACGCTTTTCAGAAAAATCAGACAACAACTCATTTGCAGCGCAACTCTTCTTCAGAAAACGTTGAAATAACCCGAAATTTAGAAAATCTAAACAAATGTTTTAGAAAACTGGAAGCAAGAATGTGCGACCTCTGCTTGAATACATACCGCTCACTGGGCATGAGCACTAACTACAGACTTAGTTCGTTCAGAGGCCTAAGTATTTTTTGACCCAGTTGAAAGGGTACATTCTTACAGCCCGTGCAGTATCGAAAAGCTCTGCCACACTGCGCAATGAATTGACAAGAAGCAAGAGTGCAAAGCCGTTTTGTGGTGAGCCCCCTTTACATAACCCGACGATCAGGGACGTTGAACGTTCCTTGTAAGCAGATGCTGGCTGTTGGGGTCATCAGATGTTTGCAAAGTATTCAAAAAACTTTACTAGTACTAGTAAAAATATTTTTAGCAAAAAACTTTAACAGTGAAAGTTAAAGAAACAAATTTATTAAATTAAATAATGTATACTAATAATGGAAAAACGGGCAAAAAAGACATGACTTTTAAGCGAGAAAATACATTTATTATTATTTAATTAAAATATGTTAATAAATGGAAAAACGGGGGGAAAAGAAATGACTTTTTAGCGAGAAAATTCATTTATTAGTATTTAAATAATGCATAATAATGAAAGGAAAAGGCATTTTAGAAAGAAAAGGAACGGACAAAACAGTTCGAAAGCAGGAGAGAAAGAAAGCTACTTTCTACTGTTCTTTTGTCTCACTAAACAGGAGATACTTAGTGGAAGTTTCAATTGGTAATTTGTTTTTACTGTGTGATTGTGAAACCCCGGTTTTGGCCGCACGAACCCTTTACTTCCTTCTAAATTTATAATATTTTCCCTCTCTATCTTTCGTGTGTTGCAACCTCATACAAGGTAATTTAATTATTGTAACTACTCAGCTCGTTTAGTTCTTTTTGTTATTCTGTTCTTGTAAGATTTAAGTTGGCAAAATAAAAAGGTTGGTTGGTTGGTTGTTGTTGTTATTGTTGTTGTTGTTGT